ACACTCCCCCAAGTTAGCCCAGTGAGTAAAGCACAATGCACTAGTGCCTTGAGCTTAACTCTCCAGCTAACTTCCACACTGCAATCCCTAAATGTGTGATCAACATAGAGTCATCAAAAGGTCTCAGAAATCTTCAAACGGCACTGCTGCTCATTATTTGTGGATATTAGGATAGATCATCCTTCCACCCACACATGTAAAGCAAAGTGACCTGAAAAAGAAATGTATCAACAAGATACCTTTAAACAGATGCATTAATACACAGGTTCAGGACGTGCATGTTCATGAAGTTAAGTAGTAATGTACTACAAACAAAATGTATGATCATACCAAAACACACTCACACAAGTGGTATAGTATTCCAACTATCGAAATATGGAAACATCTTTCCAACATACAAAGTGCTCAACAACTAGATTTTAGTAGAGACAAGAGAGCTAAAAAGGCTCCATCTCTGCCATGGGCTAGCCCCTTCCAAACGAACTAGCATCACAGAGACCATTCCTTGAAACTTCAATCTAGAATGTCTTCTTCTCCTCCTCTGCTGTAGCGACTGTAAATGAGATGAGTAACCTTTGGCCACACCAAAATACAAAAAGTCACCCAATGATTCCCATTGTCAAGGTAAGATACCCCAGTGCAGTGGTAGAATAGCTCGTATACTAAAGTCACACATTCCCCTTTTCAGTTCCTGAATAGATATCGCATAAGTCACCCCATGGTGATCAATGGTCTCCCCCAAGTGACAGGAAGATCCCATAGAATATCTGCAACTGTATCTACTAAATTCACTCCGTCTGCATTATCACCTAATAGTCAATCCTGTCATAGCAGGACACACTAAGTGAGTATGTATGTACTATGTCACATTCTGGATATACTCCAGAAGACAGTCATCAAATCCACATAGAATAGTAATGCAACGCCGATAAATGATAGCAGCACTAGCATAGACTCAGCATCATAACAAGAAAACCATTAGCAGCCGTAATCCCATCCCTACCAGACAACACGGCAATTAAGTCTGTATACACGGGATTTGCATGTGGGTCTTGATTCGCCTAGTAATCCAATACAATCTGAATCACACACAGATTTCAATATATTCACAATAACATGAAAGTACATTACATAGATTCTTTGTAAGCGTTGTCCAACATCATTTCTGAGCAAAGAACATACTAGTCTTCACAACAGTATCTGAAAGACAATGATTCAACCAAGGCAAAGGCACAATCCAACATCCATAGAACAAAGGGACACAGGAAATTCTGGCCTCCACCAAGGGATCATGAAAAACAACAACTAGACATCACTAAGGCAAAGGCACTGTCCGACATCCTCACTATAGTAGGACATGGGCAATATCTGGCCTCCTCCCTGCAATCACCTGCAATCATGCAATAAAACATTAAAACAGTTTCAAAATACTCCCCCATCATCAGTAAAGGTTTTGAGTGTACATACCTGCAAAACACGAACTGAACTATATTTACAAACACAATGCATGGAAACAGATCTATGTCTCCTTCATCTCACTCCAATGATCTCTCAAGTACTTCAATAGGTTGCTTCTCCCAGAAGTTTTTCCATCACTGCCAGATAATCGTTGGGTGTTACAACTCTTATAATCATCAGTAGATTCAAATAACACATGTTCAGTTAACCTCCAATCATGGTCATTCATGCATTTGCTCACATCTCTCTTGACTCCAGC